TAAATTCAGATACTTTTTTTGATCAGAACACCGAAAGTCTTGTCAACCTGTATGGTACAGTAGCTAATAGGCGTCGACCTCGGCCACCAGTAAGGAATGGAGTCGGATTCAAAGCAAAAAAGTATCACAATTATTAATAAATTATGATACTCTCACACTGGAATTAAGTAACTTGCCCAGCTCCGAATAAAATTTATCAAAAATACAATATCATCGATTTACACAGTTGCGCATTCCAAGACAAGATTTATTTATTGATATTAATACATGATAATTGATAAGTAACAAAAAAATTCTAGAAATCGTAAAAAATAAATCCATTTCAAACTCACAACTTAACGCCATTTGCAGCGGGCCAGTTAGAAACGGTTTAAAAATTGAACACTACATAGTGAAAAATTCCTATTAAAGCAACAAAAGTGCAGTATGCCAAAACGTGTATAAATAATAAGAAAAAAATATCGAAAACAAAATATTTATACCTACAAGTTGGCTCGCAGTCGATGAAGCACTCGCTTTATTATGTTGGAACCAGAAGTTATGTTGTCGGATAATTGATTAATAATTTAAATGCATTTATTGTATTCTATTGTTTTGTAATTTAAAAAAATCAACCGGTATACACAGGGATAGAGCGACCATTTAAATTAGCCAAGGTCAAAGGCAAAAGTTTGCAATAACTACCAACACAATTGATGAATTACGTCACCGAAATTGTTGTAATAAAATGAAATTTTCTATTTCGAAACGATATAAAACGGTATATTTGTTTGTGTTGTTACAATTTAGAAGAAAACGCATTTGGTTTTTAAAAAATTGAGTTTAGCTCGTTTGAGAAGTATATTAGCTGAATAATGAAAAGCATTTTGTGCATGCCAGCGCAAATGTAATATTTGGGTGTGCGCAAAACACGGTTATGTCATAGCCGGATTTAAAAAGATACACAAATATGTTTGTGGAAAACTAAACAACCAAAAAATGGCGTTCATGTAAAATGTTTGCAAGGATATTTATAATATAATCATTCGACGTTGGCAAATATTAGTAGTTTTAACGTCACCGCCTGTCCCAATTTGTACATGAAAAACAGCAACAAAATCGACCTGAATGTGAAATTGTTTTCAAAAAGTATATACAATAATCGTGAATACAATAATATTATTTTTCTTTTACAGGTGCATGCCCTAATGCAATTCTACTACAAACATAATATTTTTGTATGGAAATTCTAACTGCGATAACCTGCAGCTAGCCCGCATAGATAAATAATTCCACGGCCGTGAGACAACAAATTATGATTGGTTACTTCGAACAAGATTATCTCGATTAGATGAAAATTTGTTTTTTAGTAAACAACAACATATTTTTTGTTATTATATTGCTAACATATTTTTTCACCAGTCACGTCTTAAATTTAAGTTATGAAATCTATTTAAATTGAATATTACGAACAGGCAACAATGATCAAGCAAAACTTTTAAGTACCTACTTCGTCGAAATCTTAATTTTATAATTTGAAGACACATACATTACAAACAGAAAACAAGGATGTACTTACACTTAAGATGGTCATTATTGAATGACGTTAATGCTCGTTTAATGAAACCGTAAAATATAGTCATTGTAGAAGTCAATACAAATGAATTTTTGTTTAAAACTATGTTTGTACACATAACTTTTGTTCATCCGTCATGTTTATATCGAGGTAGTCTTTGTTTACAAATAATAATATCACATGGATTTCGATGAAATGTAACCGTTAAACGTTATTTATCGTTTCCATAAAGAAGCTTAAAAATGACGTTAACGATACAACTAACGACTATAAGAGCAATGATAACATCCGTATCATAACTCATAGGAAAAAAAGTGTCCACAACCGGTTTATCACTGAATTGTACTTTTAATCCTTTCTCGCTGCACTGAGCCGTTCGCACAAAAATATCGAAGGCGTCCTTACGCAGAAATTTGAAAATTGGTTCAAGTCGACAATAAATTTTGATACTTAAAATACGCCGAAAGAAATATAAATTTAAACAGTAAAATAGTTTTCTAAAAAAAAAAAAAAATAGAAAAACTAACATTTTTTAATTGATTTTATTATTATATAAACTTTACGGCAAAATATGACTGACCGGCCTATTTCCGGGGAATTATGCTATTGTAGTTGATCTAACAACGATCGCGACTAATAAACAGCGGAATTCAACAAGTGATAATCGTCTTTAGTTAACAACATCATGCAATTGTAGTGGACAGCAATCGGCTGCTGCTGTTGTTTTAAACCGTCACAGATTTTATCGGGACGATTAGTCAGTACCGTGCCGATGATTGTTGTGCTTTTGGGGCAAGTAACCGTTAGATACCAGCACGCCACTGCCACATACCAAAAAGCATTGGGCCAGCCAGCCGTTGGACTACGTCATTGGTGTATTTTTACCGAGAACGCACTCCGAAATAGACGCGGCCCCAACGAAAATAAACCACTGAGGAGGCGATTGACGTGGGCTTAACGTCCGGAAAGCTCTCGTATGAAAACAACACGCCTTATCGTAATCGAATCGGATAGTAATAATGACAATAATTGAGTGGACGGGGCAGGCAAAAAAAAAAAAAACATGTTCTTCACGAATACGACGAGGTGTGTATAAGAATAATTATCAATGTAATATTCAAACGATAAGCAACGGGGATAAATTTTGACGGACAAACGAACATGCAGTGTCAAGCAGACCACGTTAATAGTGGTGGGGACATTGTGCGGTTCGAGTGCCGAATAAAAATTACATTATATTATACACATATCTTACTGAAGCTGCGCGTAGACGTACTTTGAACACACTCGGACCTGTTGATGTGTATGCACGATTCTCTATCTTTAATCGTATTATTATCAGAGCGTCATGATAGCGTAAACCGCAAGTGAAGGGAGAGGGAGAGAGGCGAACAGACGGGCAAGCGACGTTATCTGAGGCGCGAAGAGTAACTATTATATGACGGAGGAGCTCAGCTATGAAAAAAAAAACAACAATTACGACCAGATTAGAATATTCTAGAGGAAAAACACAGGTACCGAATATATTATGTTATGTGTTATAACAATTTTGAGTTAAGCACAGAGTCACACACATATATCATAACATATATATTATTTTACACACACATAAATCCTACGAAAATGGCCGACGTCGACTTTGATTCTTATCACTAGTTAGCAAACTCTATATCTGTGTATCTGAATGTGAAAATAAATCAAATTTGTAGCTTAAAGAATTTCCGACAAACGTGTAAACGATGCGGCGGCATGCCAACAGAGTTTGTACCGGAACGGATTCGGCAAAATAGACAGATGAATTGAAATCTCCACCTGTGCACCGTGTATTTGCACGACGACGTGTTAGCATACCAAACGGGATCGCAGTGGAAAACAGTTATTATTATTTAAGACTATTATTGACGGACTAGCTAAGTCGACCGAGTCCTTTACAATTATTCGAGTTTCCGTCGGTTTAACGAGGAAAATCGCTTTGGAAAAGTTTCCATCGTTTCTAATTGGTGCCGAAGCGCGTGCTAACGGTCGCAGTTGGTTATGAACCGGAATTGGATTAAAAGTACAATTTCAAAAAAAAAAAGGCTCGTTCGTATTTTCTTACAGTAATTGATATTTTGTAACTAAGGAAAGTCAATTAAAATTTTGACACTAACTTGGTGTAAATAAAATCGTTTAGACGTGAACAGCTATATTAAATTATGATTATTATAAGTACGAAAGTGAAGTAAATAAAATAGGGTTATTAATAGCCGACGGGAGTGTCTCCGGAACAGATTTTTTTTTTAACGGATTTTTGTGCAAATCAGCAATATTGGCGTGTTACGTTTTGATAGAACTTAACATCACGTAAAGTCCAGACGGAATTTACCATCGAAATTCCATGAAAAATCGCTTACCTACGTCGGAGTAGATAATGACGGGATCTAATGGCGTGTAAATCGTCTGCACATAAATCAATGGTAAACGTTTACTAATTCGACGAGATTTTTCATTGTGATGTTTACCGTACAAAACAATATTAATCCAAAATCCCCATTCGACTTCATTAACGTTAGTTGAGCTCATTCTATGCGCGTAAAAAACAAATTAACCTATTACGAAACGGTTCGTACGGCGACGGCGATGATAATCGAAAAATGGCATATTTTCGCTGGGAAGGGGAACACTTTTATAGTCGGGTGTGTGTGACAAACTAGTATGATTCGGTTGCCGATTATAATAATATTATGCGCCGATCCGTTTGGTTTTTGAAGGGCGTAGACAGTTCCATCTTTACCCTAAGGGCACGTGGGGCACGAGCCCAGCCCTGGCCTGACGGGGCCCCGAATAATACTATTTACATTCTTGGGTTTTTTTGTTAGGTTTTCCTAAAAGCTTCCCAAACTCGTGCCTAAGGGCTCCTGCGTAGCCTAAGACGGTCTTGGGCGTAGAGGCAATAGAGAAGTAGTATTTGGTTTTTACACAAAAATATTGGTTTAAACCTTAGCCGGGTTGGGTTTTTTTTTTTTTAAAGAAACCTAATCATAACCAGCTCTGTCGCTGGAATCGACGGATTACTTAGGGCCATTCGCCCCCCCCCCCTCCTCATTTGACTGATAACGGTCCCCAGGGGAAGGGGTCACTCATGCGATCGCCACAGCAGCTGTTGCCGATCGTTGTAGTCGTGGCGGCTGTCACAGGGGAAGCTGTGGCTGGACGTGCAAAATTTGTTGGGTGTGAGGGCAGATATTTTTTTCGGACAACGTTATCAACGCAGGAGTTGTCGGTCGGGGCAGAACCGATCTCGATGATGTGGTGGGGGGGGATGGCGGTGATAAGAACGTGGAACGCGAAATGTATACCTAACATAATATACTTTCTCTGACCCGAATACGCGAAACGCACAGATGATAACGCAACAGCGAGACGGCGGAATTCCTACGGCTAACTGCACCGAACAGACACTTACGCTGACATGTAGCCGCGGCTGTTGTTGGACGGCGAATTCCTGAGACTGTCGAACGGGTTAGGTTTGGGCCGGTAACTCATTTCGGTGCGATTTCTCCAGGCGGCTATGGTTCTGTTCGACCGCTGGTCCTCGTCTAACGGCCGGTAGATCCGGTAAGAACGAACGCCGTTTAAGGGCTGGCCCTTATCTCGACCGCACTACAACAACAACCACGGTTTTCGGACATGGCTTATCACGAGCGCACAAAACAAACACAAAACACATACACCACCGACCAGCACACAACACAATATTTTTTATTATACACAACCCGAATGCGGCACGTTCGCGTTTAACCGTGTGAAGCGAGAAAAAAATACTATAATATTTTTTTTTTTTATCCAAAAGCCAAGCCGTCGAGTAAAAAATATCTATCGGATTATTGATGTAAAATTTTTAATTATTTATTTTTTTTACACTTGGCAGTGGTACCGAACGGACGCGCGACCGGAGACCAATCGTACGGAAGCCATATTGAGTGTTATCCGCCGCCTCTTGCCGTCGTTTTGTGTGTGTGTGTGTGTCAGTGTGTGTGTATTACAGAAGAGCGCGCCGCCGGTGGCGGTGTGTGTCCGTCGCGCTGTAAATGTGTACGGCCAACCAAACGGTGGAGGGGATGCGCGTGCGGCGGCGGCTATGGTAAGCGAGAGGCGACGTCCGCGGTGGAGGTGGCGGCGTCGGTATATAGTATAGTTGGGTAACGGCGGTCGTACCCGTGCTGGTAATGGTGGTGGTGGTGGTAGAGAATAGGCGGCGGTGCATGTCTCGGTACGGCAGCAAAGGACACACACACACACAGCTGAAATTGGACGTGAAGTGGGACGGAATATTATACGGGCAGCGTCGTAAACGTAACGCCGTCGTACATTATATTGTGTATGTATACAGAGCGAACGCCGTGTCCCGACAGAGCACCCGGTACGTGTTGGGTGACCCGTGGATATGGGTTCGGCACCGGTCCCGGTGGAGTAACGCCGTTGAACGGGAACGGGGGTGGGTAAAGGACCCGAGAATCCTCCTCGCGGATAGTCTAGGGCACCCATCGGCACCGCTCGCGGTCAAGAGTAACAACGTTGTTACATTCGGACGTGGCCGTTGAGCGGACAGGTGCAGTTGTTGAACCTAGACAGCGTCTCGTCAATACCACACGAGTACGGAGTACCCTCATTTTTTTTTGATTTTGTCACACTGATCTATAATACATAGTTATTAAAAATGAATAAATAAATTGTACCTATGTCCCGGTAGATATGATCTAAGCCCTATAGCGGTCGACGCGACTTGTCGATAAAGTGCACTGTCGTATCTAGACAATGCATTTAGATCACTTTATCTAGAAAATTTAACTGCTGACAAAGCATCTGATTCGTGAGACAAGACAAGTTGAATTACCACAAAAGTAAATTTAAACGTTAACTTTCAGACATAAGGATAATTTAACCCCCTCCTCCCTAGTCCTCCTACCACCAAGTAAGAAAATGTAGAAATCTTTTACGGCGAGTTTTTCATTATGAGTACTTATTATAATATTGCTCATTTTTATTGCTGTGCATTCATGTAGCTAAAACTATCTAAATACATTATCCGAATAAAATGGTCGTTTTATCATAATAAAATTTAAATGAAAACGGCAATACTTATCTAATTGTGGTAATTTCCATTTAGTTTGTTTTAAATTATTATTCCACAATAATTACAACTATTAGATGTATATTTGTAGCACTAATGATAAGATAGTTCTGCCATATTAACAAATAACAACAATATTATCAGTCAAAACGTTTATAACATTTAAGAAAGCAGTAAAAATTGTTGATAAATTGCCTTAAAAATGTGTTGACTTCCATATAGGTACCGAGAATATAATATATTATACTGTTTTATCATTTGTGACTGCGATAATACTATTCGAAGTAATGGCCACTTCTATTGCTTTTATATATATATATATATATTTAACTATGTTATCTATAAACACAACTGTTTTCTTATAGATACAATTTTAACGAACCATCCTTTATCATAGATAGAATATTTTAAACATAATAATATTATATCTACACAATTCACAACACTACTTATGCATGTTGTAACAGCTGTGTGGTATCAGGTATGTTCGGTCATAATATACTGAAAACCCATCTTACCTATTTAGTCAAACGTATAGTCAAGTACTCAACCTTTGGGAATTCTTTACTTTGTCTGATACAATCAAATTCGAGCCATTACAATAGGGTAATACTATCGCACACCGATAGTTGTTTTGATGGGTACAATAAAATATCTAATATTTTCTTTTGGGTCGCATGTTATCGGGTTGAGTTGGCTCACAATATTAGATTACTTGGCTTGGGACACTAAAAACCTTAAAACTTAAAATTTGGTGCTTTTCAAAATACCAACATTTATTTTTTGAAGTAACAATAAATGTACCACTAATTTTAAGTTTTAGAATCCTAAGTTCCACACCCCCTGATTTCTCCTATGTATCTCATTTAAACTCGGGTGTCGGTGTGTTGTTAAGTCGAACCGGAATTACACGACGGTCCTGTTAAGTCCGGTCACGGAACTAAGACCCGGGGTTATGTCGTCGAAACCGTTAAAATCATTCGACAACACATATTTACCGTTATACAATTTAGAAGTGATTAAACCCTCGCTTTATTTACACGGATTTGGAAACAAATAAGTTTTCGTTGATGTGATTGTACGAGCTGCTGTTTAACAAAACGTAAAATATTGCATTTTTGGTTCAGTTTCCAACCGGTGTGTAACCTCTCTCTGACCGTGACGGCAAAACGTTATGATAATAATATGATTTCTCTCGGATTTACGTGCGACCGATTTCGAGGCTAATATTATCTCGCCTTATTGAAAATCGATTGTTTTTTTTTCTTTCGCCCAACAGTTTCACAACGACTTCCGCATGGCTCTGTCGAGTATGGACAGGAGGGAGGGGGAGGGTCTGTAAACCCCTATAACGCGGTCTTCGTTTGTGGTTTTTTTTTTGACTATCATAGAGCGTCAGAACGTTTTGTTTACCCGATAAGTCGACGTCGTACAGAGACGTGTTTGCCGTGTGGAACGGACGAGCACAACAACAACAACTGTACATTATGAAAAAAAAAAAAGAAGCGAGCATAGGTACATATTATCAGCATAAGGAATATCAGCTTCCTCGCCACGGTCGATCCATCGTTACTTATGGGTTTTTTTTTTAAAAAAATTTATTCGAAAATCGCCTATTTTTTTTTTGTTGTTTGTTTGCTCCGTAAAAGGATTACAGCATAGGAGATAATAATAATAGTAATAATGAAATATAGGAAACGTGGTGGGACGCACGTAGACAGCGTTGCAACAACGCTACGCCCACGACATCTTTTGACATTCTCACTTTTTTATTTTGTGTTGTTGTTGTTGTACGGCTCGTTTAAATTATACAAAACTAATATTCACACCGGGAATATTCGGACCAGTTTTTTTTCCACTTTTTTTTCAAATACACAATTTCCATCACTACCTATCTCTCGTTCCGGGGGACCTTGAGAGCCGACCGCGGTGAATCACAAACTCCGAGCACATCCGTCGTTTCAAACCGTAGCCGCCGTACAACGCACGAACATTATCAGGTACAACATTGACATTATTACCATCCGTCAGGTGTTTCCACTGCGAGAAAAACAGTCCAACCGACACGCAAGGACACGCCGAGATAATAATAGTTTGCTCGCATCATCTGGGGAATACCCGTCGTCGAACAATCGAGACTGTTATCGCAAAACCGTAAAGTCAGACAATCATAGCTGATATTATGTATTCCGTGTTAGGCACACGCTCCAAGAGTTGGTTTTAACGAGACACAGTAAAATAATATAACCTAAAAATTGTTATCAATGGTTATTATCAACGGGAACACCCAGGCGTCCTGATCCGTTATCGCATGATGATGTGTACCTGTTCATAGATCACTTATATTATACAAAAAACGTTATAACACAAATAAAGTGATCACACTGTGCTACTCACGCAGAAGTTACTGATAGAGTCGGATCTGTACTGCGGTAGTGTTGTCAAAAACTTTGACTTCCGCTGAAGTTGGTGGACGCCATTCGTGTAACCAAACACCAACCAAAAACAGAGCTCGTCACTAACTGTCTTGAAGTGTTACGGGTTATCTTTGGTTGGTCTTAACACATCGATTGGGGTATTTTGGTCTTACAAGTTTTCAATTTGTGTTGTCATTTTAAAATCTGCCATCGACGAATTGATTAAACATATTGATTTAGCAAGAAGGCACACATCTGATATGAACAAAACACGTTGCAGTCATCTTTTCATTTCACTTTTATTCAGTGCGTAGCCAGAAATCAGTCGAGGGAAAGTTCTAAAAAAAAAAATTGTAAATGTACACATAAAGAAACTGCCTCTTTGGATAAGAGGACACCAATAGCCCCAACGCCCAAAAGGTAAGCAAAAATAATAACCAGTTATAACCTTCAAATTTCTTTGGCTACACCATTGCATACATCCCAATAGCTTATGTATTGTTTGTAGAGGAATTGACTATAATTGCAAAATAAGAATGTGCTCGACGGAGAAATATCTCACTCGTGTTACTCAATATCGTTACCAGTGTCTACCCAGTGATAACGTTAGCGGTTAATGTATTTCGATAACGTCAATTGTTGTTGTATTTAAGTCGGAGGTTGGCGTTGACGTCAATACGAGGCGACGTATAATGTGTATAAATGACGTCGACCCGACAGGGGTTTTGTCTAAGACACAAAACTTAAAACAAGGAATAGTGGGAGCCAAACAAAATAAAAAAAACGAAACATAAAATAATTGCATCCATCTACACCCCTCTGGTCCGGCCCTCGATTTGCGCGTCTGGCCGAGCTAATACAGTTTTACGCCAGACGTTCCTTCAGCAATCGATTCCCAACGACGCTGCACAGACGCGATACTGTTGTGAGCACAATATTCACCAGCCGCTTATAATATTGTTATTACTATTATCGTGTACAGACGGCACGACCGGTCCCTGCGTGCTACACTCAAATACAAATCCGTCCGAACACCTGCGGCAGATCTGTTCTCCGGTTAGGTTATAGTGCAAGCCGGGACGTGTGCTGCTTGTGGTGTTATTGGACCGTTTGTGCCACAACTACACGTGTACGTATAATCTTCTTACCTGCGGACGTCATAAAAAAAAAAAAAAAAAACGTCTATCCCCCCAAACGTCTCATTTCGGATTGTCGGACTTCATAGCACGAAACACCGTACACAGACCGGAAAGATTTTTTCCGTTTTCCTTCCGGAGCCTCGTCGGAAAAGCCGCATTTTCCTGGTATCATCATTATTACTATCGTAATCGTGTACGTGCACCGGCTGATACAAATGCATACAAAACGGACCAATGGCTAGAGCTCTCGGCGAACGTTACATCACGGGGCTGTGTGATCGTGTGTTTAAATATTGAGACGGAGAGAGATTACCGCTGCCCCTTCGTCCAGGTACTAA